TCTTCTCCCATCTGTTCACCAAAACCTGTCGGAAACCCTAACCCTAACCCTAACCCTAAGGCGTTTGTATGCTAGGCAACGAGAGAGGTGATGTCTTTTGCGGCGAAGGGCTTCATAATGACGACGGCTTCAACTCAGACCTCCTTTTGGATGATTTATGCGAAACCTACCCACGTGAGTGACCACTAATTTGCTGCTGCGTGAATTTTGACGGAATGATGGTTCATCTTGCGACCGTAGTAGCTTCGAAGTCTGCTAGAGATCATGAAACGCAAGCTCCAATGCATCCCCGCTACGGAGAGAGTAGCACAGAGGACATGAAATTGGTGATCAATAGGAACGCTTCTCATTCCCATCAAGAGCCCCAGCAGAAGTGACCCAAGGTCATAATTTGCCTTACACATGCGAGTGGCACGTTTCATGCGCTTTGACTTGTTCTAGTAGCTAGACGCCTGAATGCTTTAGACGGTCATCCAATCCAATTCAGAGGATTTTGGCGTCGATTTTACGACCCGCTGCTTGCCGTCACAACCATGTCTTCCTTCCAGACGGGCGACTCGCTTGGTTCCTGTGTCGTCATCAGTATATCCTCGCATCTCGACTTTTTTGGCACCTCACCAGCCAATTCAAACTTGACGATATGATACACAACTTCCTTACATCGATTGGCTCGAGCTCACCAGACTAAGGGTGACGAGTATTTTGACCTGGCTGGCACGCCAGACAGTGCTCGGCTTACTTCTTGAGCTTCGTGGTGAATCCAGGAATGGCGAACGATGCTCAATTGCGCTCTTACGAGTAGGCCGTGGCCTGTCTCGAATACTTCGCCGACTAATGCATCAGGGACGCAAAGAAGATCAAGTTTCAGTGGTCAATCGTGGCCATATTCAGGCCTGTCCGCTCAAAGAAGCGAAGGCAAAGGAGAATTGTTCGGGTTGCCGCTTTCTGGCATGATGAACATCGCAAACGTCCCGGGCCTGTTTGGCAAGCCCTGAAGATGGTTTCATCCGAGTCGCTTCGGGCTTTGAACTCGGAGAAGGAATTGCAGAAATCTTGTTGCCTAGGCGTTAGGTTCGCGAGACGCTGCCAGGTTCTCGCGGAACCCTGGCCGCATCTCAACCAATACACTATGGCCCACTTCAACTTTGTCGCCGTTATTTGCTTGCATGGACTCCAGATCTTCTTTTATCGAGGAATCATCCAAGGTCGACTCCCACTTCAGTAGGGAAGTTCCCCGTTGACAATTGCTTGTGACTGAGGAGACAGCCGTTTGGAATGAAGATCGTGTACACACCTCATCGCGGTCGCTTTTTGTAACTAGATCTCCCTTTAGTAGATCTTACGCCTGTCTGAATGTCGCATTCAGGCTAGCTCTCAACGTCGATCAACACAGGTCGGTTTGGTTTGTGGTACTATAAAAAGGCTGGACCACAAGACTTCTTCTGTACTCAATTGAACGATGTCTCTCGCCGGTTCCCCTCATTATCTTGGCGGCGTGATGCTTTTGACCTTCCGTTTCGATTGGTGCACATTTGAGAAGATGTTGCTTCTCGTTTCACTGCGGGCTCGTTAAGTGAGGAAAGGGGTACAGTCTCGCAAGGTCTATGAACTGTTCCAGATCAAGAAAGCCCGCGGCAATCCCATGGACAAGTTTGAAGACGTCTTTCCCTCTCTGGTCGCCAGGGCAAGCGAAGTCCGCACGTCGTATCAAAGCCTACTTTCACGTTGCAGCCAACAGGATCGAGTCGAATGAAAAAGGCCATATAGTGCCATCTTCGAAAGCGAATCCTCGCTGGATTGATGCGAGCGAAGCTGCCTTGACCGTCACCGGAAATGTCATCCGCAAACGAGGGATGGCGTCGCTTTTCTTCGGCTTTGCCTTGTCGCTTTTGGCGTGTTCCCTAGATCTGGTCGTGAACGTACACTCGTTTGGTAGCAATGCAGCTTTACCCCAAGTGAACGAAAGCTGAACAACACTAGATCAAGGACGCCAATATATGGGGATGTACTCACCGTCTTCAACGATTTGGGAATGAGAGTTTCGAGGTCGTTGTCGGGACACAACAATGCAGTGATCGTTACCTCCAAGTTCGAGCGTGACGCGTTTCAACGTCTTTGCCGTCGCCGCAAGAACGTTCCATCCAGTAGGTGAGAATTCTGTGAACGAAATCTCTGCAAGTCCGGTAGGTCGATGTTAGCTGCAACACGGTCAGTACTTGGTCAACGATTTCGCGGTGTCACTGACGGATCGTAGTTAGATATTCCGATGCCGGATCAGCATCGGTAGAAGCCATCTTGAGCTAACCTCGGGTCAGCACCAGGACAAAAGATAGTCTGGCCAGTTTCTTTCGAAACGAATTCGGCAGAGTCCTCTTTTCGTTGCTTAATGGCATCCACGAGCTGTCTCAAACGATGTCGCTTGTCCGCAAGAGGTGTGAATCGCCAGGCATGAAATGGACTCGTCGCTACATGAACAGCGTCATCCAAATCATTGATGGAAGCAATCAGAGCATCCCATAATGGAATCTACGTGGAAAGGTTAGTCCCGTTATAGACTGCCGATTGCAAACAACCGGCAGCTTAACCCCAATTTTTGCTATACGACAGAGCAAATGTGGTCAACGGTTTTCCACTGTTCTAGATCGCCGATTGCACAGTCGTGTCCAAGCCTGTTTTCTGGGTTGCTTCAGAATGTAGCATGCCGGGAGGGGAGGGATTTGGAAAATTATCGAGGTCTCGATAGAAGCCTATCAAATGCGTAGTAGTGCGAGGAAAACGCATCACAACAATTGAGTGGGCCGCTTAACAAATACAGATTACAAGATGGCAATGGACAGATCGCAGGTGTCGTCAGGAAGAAGAACGATAAACAGACAGTAGAGGCATTAGAGGGACTGAGGCAAGAGTGCCCAAAATTGCTGCAGGCGTTATTCGGTCCTGGCGTGTGGTAGCACTCTGCCGCTGCGTGCTACCAGTTGGGACGACAGGCGAACCGCCAGCGGTCGGTTGAGAGGCAGTAGCGGCTGCAGTAGTAGCTGCAGCTGCAGCAGCGAGCGCAGCTTGATCCTTCTCAAAGAACAGCTGTAGATGGATGATCGGTGTACTGCTTGCAAGGATGGTGTGCGTCTGCTGACTTTTAATCAGCCCGTCTACCAGATCGTCATACGCGAAATCGTCCTCAATATCCGTCCTTACGCGTCCAAGCTTCTGCTCACGGTGTTGATCTTCGAAGACGGCAGTAGCAAGAGTGCGGACCAGCTTTATAGCCCATTCGCGAGCCTTGCCTAACGGCCATGGATCGTCACCGCTGAGCGTGGCCGGTTTATAGCCTTTCTCGCGTTCGGCTTGGCCGACAACAGGGCGCCAGCGAGCCTCATACGTGAACAATGAACGCTCCTTCGCCAGCTTCACCTCCTGCGGCAGCTCCAGCAGCTCTACCACCTCCTGCACCTCCATCTCCGAGTCTTTGAGCTGCTCTAGCAACGGAGTGGCGGCGGCGGACGCGTTGATTGACGCGTCTGGATGCTCTTGGCGACGAGCCTTCGCCTTGTCTTGACGGCCTTGTTGAGAGGCTTTTCTTTTGGCACTAACGCTGTTCCACACGTAGACTGCATCCAGCGCTAGCTCAATACGAAACCGTGATCATGGCATTAGATTACTTGAACTTCTGTCAACTGTCCCGAGGCGTGGTCATTGGCCTGCGATTCCGATTCAGGTAAGTTGGATGTGCATCAGTGCGATCACAACCTGCTTTCGACGCTACAGTGTATCAGTCGCTCGTAGAAGCTATTATGGGTTGTTCTGTATCACAAAAGTCCGGCAATCTCCATTGTCCACTTCGTATTGGAAGACACCATCCTAAGATGTCGAGAAAAGAGGAATGTTCAGTGTACAGCTGCGAACGCAAGTCCCACAATGTACCACCTCTGCATTCTCGACTCCCCGATCGCCCATACCTCAGTCCACGCTTCTTTTCGAACGCACAAAAAAGCATGGAACCTGAATTACCGATGCCAGTCCCCTCAGAGACTCAGGGTATAGGCAGGATCAGGTGCGCCATCCACAGAATCTTTTGAACCGCGCGATCAGTACGAGTCCAGCTTGTTGCAGCGAATGATGCAGAGTCATTTGCCATTTTTGCCGCGGTTCTTGGGTAAGACTCATTTACAACTCCTGCTGCAGTTGCTGATGTGACTTATGATGAGTCCATTGTGACCTCTGCTCGGCTTCGAAGGTATCTTGTCCTCGCCCTCTAGTCCAGTTCGTGATGCTTATGTGTCTTCTCACCCTGCAATCAGGCTTTGATGCTTCCTCCACGAGCGAATTAAAAGTGTCGCTCTTGTAGAGTAAATCGACTGCCGTGGACATCCTTCAACGCCGGAATTCTACCTTCGATCTCGTGATTGAGGAGATTTGCATGCATGCTGTGCGCCGCGAACGCCACGCAGTGAATCGTACTTTATCTGGACTTGGCTTCGATGGCAAAACGAAGGTCGTATCGTTGTTGATCCAAGTTCCCACTCGTACCCGTTGAGCATCGACGCCCGCCTGCTCTGTTTCTTTCGTCTCGCCCCGCGTGACTCCACGAGCTCAGTCCTGCGTCTCATAGCAGATCTCTAGCAGCTCTACGAACTCGTGCGTTGTCTTGACAGAGTTCATAGACCTCAAGCGACGACTTTGATTAATTTGTAATATCGGCATCGGGTGCCTCTGAGCTTTCGCACGAAGCGGAGCCTCAACTTCTGAAGATATAATGAAAGGCGGGCCCTTACTGGCGGGAGTGGAAATGTTGAGCTACACCGGTATCTATGCGACCTTCACAGCCACAAACGTGTCTGTGTTACATCTTCCGTGCGCCCGAGAAGAAGATGCACGCTCGCACCGAGGTAGTCCTTGGCTTGCGGCCACGCTCTGTATGATTTTTTCCATTGGCACCTTCGGGACGAGACCAACCAACGAAAAGTACATCTTCAACCCTCTGGAATTCCCTTTGTGCGGTAGAAAGCTCAAACCAGGTCAATTAGACTTGATGCCGCCGACAACAGGTGTCAGACTACCCAGCTTGGATGGTGAAGGGATCAAGGGGATCATCTAGATGGTTTCCCTTCGGGAACTTGAAGAGGCGCTGGCCGATCTGTGTATGCTCGGTACGGCATCTCTTCAATTTCGTTTGCATTGCGCCGGTATGCTTCGCGGCGATTGTAGCTTTAACCTCTGCTGACGATGGCGATTAGTCAGTCTCATGGTGATTGGACTTTCTGAAACGCATTGGACTGCCGATCAACGTCTTGAGTACTTCGAGACCCTTGCACGAAATACCTTCAGGCATTCGATGATTAGATCGATGTTGTTCGGTCATGCGCAGGACTAGTCATCTTCTATGTCCGGGATTGTCAACACAGCGCATTAGCTGTCGAACACCTTTCTTAGTTTGCTTTACTGGATACAATTTATTACACGGCAAATCTCTGTCTCGAGCCGGACGATCTGCTTACGCATAACATAACACTAATCCTAACCCTCGACCTCATCGACCTATATTTGGCATATGCTAGGTTCTACGTCGCAACAGCCTTCATGAGCATCCCTAGGATCTCAAGGTCTTGTCTTGCATCGCTTGGAGTGGTCTTGGGAGTCTTCCCACTAACGACCCATTCATGCACCGCCTTCAGCTCGAGCGCAAAAGGATCTTCGTACGTTCGCCGAATAGTGGATTCCCTGTACGATCCGTCCGGCAAAGTCTCCTTGATAATCATGGTTGTTGGCAAACCCTTGACGAACGGAGTATCGATGCACACCTTGACCGTCTTAGTGTCACCAAATATTTCGATCGAAGCGTCGAATCTTGCCACCTGATCGACGCCTGACTCGTAGGCAACCACGAAATCGGGGTATTGGAAGATTGCACTGTAATTGTAAGCTTCCTTACGAATTTTCCCTCTCAATGATAACGGTACCTCCAGAACGGTGAGCCGGTCGTAGCACAAGGTGAAAATCCTACGACACTTTTCGGCATGCCAATGATCTCCCGCATGGCGCTCAGATCATGCGAACCAAGCATGGAAAGCGTATGCCACATCAAGTCCGTCCCTTTCGTGACCGACACACCAAGCTCGACTTGAAGAGCTTGCGCAACGTCCTCTCGTGTCTTCATCTGTAGCGCTTCAGAATCCACCTCGCGATAATCGTTAAACGTTCTTGGATATGTGCCTGACTGTCCCACGAAGATCGAGTTTGGTCCAATGATGTCTCGTACGCGAGCATAACGGATCTGTCCGATACTTCTAACCTCTTTCACAGCGTCGACGAAAGCCGCTGCGTATCTTCTCATGTAACCGATGAAGACTTTCGAACCCCCAGCAGCCTTGTCGGCGGCAATAATGCGATCCGTATCTTGTAACGTCAACGCAATTGGCTTCTCGATGAAGACGAGCTTCTTGGCCTGCAACGCAAGGAGTGCGTCGGTCGCGTGGAAAGCGTGATTGGTCGCTATCAACACCAGGTGTACTTCCGGGGCGTTGCACAGTTCTTCGACGCTTTGCGTAGTCTTGGGTCTAGAGGCAGATGCAACCCTGGACTGGCTGTGTTTCACAGCGTTTTCAGAGACGTCGCAAAGATATGTGATATGGAAAAGATGAGACAAGAGGTTCAACGTTGGCACATGAACGACTTGGGTTACCAAGCCACATCTATAAAAAATCAGCACGAGTTAACTTTTAAAGAATTGATAGTGCTGGCTTACCCTACTATTCCAACTCCGACAATGGGACTATCGGGTATAGCTTCAGTGGGGTTCATGCCGAACATTTTTGAGGTTGGGAACTGTCGTGGAGAAGGCCAAGTTGCGATTGCTCGGTAACTACATAGCCCACTGTCATCCTTCAGGGATTGGAAAAGGTGAAAGGTAGCATCTTCGTCGTGGGGCCAATCATAGGCGCACAGCTTCGCTCTAATGCGCTGCTGGCCTTCGATGTGTCCAGCAATATTTGTGATTTGTCATGCTTTAACAAGCCTGCATGCTTCCGCACAAACTCGCAGTCCTGTACGGCAATCTTTCCTACGTTTCTGTTCGACAGCTAAAAAAGAGCCCTTGCATCACGGGGTCAACTTTGGCAGGGTTTGATTGAGTGCTTCATGACCACGCCTTCAGTAGTACCGTAGAAAATTTTCCAGCGTGCGAACGTGCCGCGAAAGGAACGTCAGCAGGCTATACGATCCTACGTGGCAAGCCGGCGTCGACCACGTTTGAAGATATCCACCAACGCCAGTTAGAAACCCCGCACTTTGCAAGGTCAGCCCCTCTTTGTGTAAGAACCCTGCGGAAAGGCCAAGGAGATGGTCAGACTGGCATACCACGAATAAATCAGACCTGACTTTAAACCTTATCCAGGCGATCAGATGCTGCAAAGTATGTGGACCTTTCTGTCCGCTAGGGAGAGAAAGCACGATGAGAGTGAGCTGCCTTTGACTATCGTACATCCGAGTCGATGCTTGTCCTCCACTGCTAGGCCCTTATTATGACAGCGCGCGTATGAAAACTGTGATGGTGGACTTTGAACACTATGTCATTGGGTAAGCTTAACCAGTTTCATCGGGTTAGGACTTCCTCGGGTGGCCATTGAAGACAACCCTGTCTGAATCTCACAAGTGAGGACATGACGCTAATAATGACGGCGCTCTAAGTGCTGCAGCAAGATTCGGATCTAAATTTGGAGTGGGCTGCCTGGGGGAGATCGGGGTGCTGGAAAGTTTGAAGCGTTCCACGCTGATGTGCTGCAGGCAGGATCTGAAAGGTGACGGACGACAAGACTTTGGTGGATGGGAGTTCAAGGCATTCGACGCTAGTGTGTTGTGGTCTGGGACTTGGAAGGATCACTTCTTTGAATGGAGGTGCCATTCGTTGCTGATGGCGTAGGAAAGCGAAGATTGCGGTCACAAAGGTGGCATCCTGCCAGGGGAGTAGGCCGCCGTACGAGGTAGCTTTGCAGTGGGTCCATGAGCGGACCGAAGGTAACGAGTTGGGGCATAATTCCAGAGTCACCTGGGAATCTTCTGTGGAGTGTCCATAGAGGGAGTTGACACAGCAAACCCTAACCCTAACCGACCCCAGCCTGAAACTTAAACCCCCCTATATCAAACTAGACCTGGACTTGATTCAGCGGAGGCCTGGTCTCCGATGACAATTGTGCACTCCAATGCACGAGCTGCGATCCGAATGGCCATATTAGTGCTAGTGGCGAATGTATGCATGCGGGAGAATCGGATGGTCTCTGGGATTCAAGTGGCCGCAAACCACGTGCTCTACTGGCGGGCTCATTTGTTCAATCGAGTCTAGTTGCACATTAGATATACGTATATGTGCATGTATGGGTAACCACCGCACCCATGCAACTTTCTCCTTGCATGCGATCCATCAAGTAGAATGTCCTCTCCCACTCCCACCCGTACCATTGCAGGCGTCAAGCTGGTCGATTCCGCGATTGTACGGAACGCTCTAGACTATTCCAGAAGACATTCAGACGAGATAACCTTCAATCACACCTATCGCTCCTGGATCTTTGGAGTGCTTTTGGCTACGAGGATGGGTATCAAATTTGATCCCGAGGTCCATGCAGTAGCGGCGATGCTGCACGATCTAGCTTGGGAATATACTAGCCAATTTGCCTCTCCAGACAAACGATTCGAAGTGGACAGTGCCGAGGCCGCTCGACAATTCCTTGCCGACAACGCTCCGGAGTGGGAATCCCGCAAGACTCAACTGGTATGGGATAGCATCGCCCTACACACCACCCCCGGTATCGCTCAATATAAGGAAGCGGAAGTCATGGTTTGCAACATGGGAGTATTGGCCGACATTGTGGGCGCCAATTTTCCGGGCGGGCTCCTGTCGCAAAGCGAGTACCAGACGGTGGTAAAAGAGCTGCCTCGTCTTCGATTGGAGGCTGGAATCAAGCGAATTCTTTGCAACCTGTGCATCCACAAGCCCGATACGACGTATGACAATGTGGTAGCTCGGTGTCGGCCGATTGAGCTTCCCCAGACGAAGGGAGCCCTGTCTTACACATCCGTCGCACGAGTACATCCGCAAAGCTCCTGTTCATCGCTCGCGTGAGAATTGTGAGTATCTCGCAAAGCAGCAGAGCTGTGGCCAGCCATTGGTAGGCATCGATCAGCACATTACGCAGGTGCAGAAGACCATGATCCAGACCTACGACATCTAAAGGCTAAGATGGAAAATGCGTTCGATCAGACCTTCCAGACGCCAGGCAATCCCACATTGGCAATATCGACGCAAAAGTATCTCACCTCCCCATCATGTTGGCTACGTTATTGGGTCCAATATCTCTATCGGAGACTGGATGTTCAACCCCGACTTGGGCTCCGCTCGGTGCGACTTCTCATGTGGCGCAGCAGTGGGACTATTCCACTCGACGCAGAAGCCGGTGGCGTTTCCAGGCAACTACAGGCTGTACACCGGACATGATCACCCGCCCAAAGACAGGCAGTCGTGCGAGGGCGAGTTGCTAAGCGTAGTCCCGTTCACAACCGTCATGCACAAAGATGGAGCAGGGGTCATGGCGGCAAAAGCTTGGGCTTTCAAGCGGAACACGACGACTTTCCAGGTCACAATCACATCGCTTTGCTGAGGTTAGGCCATTTTCGAAGCAATCGTAATTTTTCCCTTTCCACCTTAGTGCTAGCTTAATACTTACGAAGGGGAAGAGGAAGAGTTGTCGAGCATTCTTGTGTTGCCATAGAAGCGTCCATGCACAAGACTCTATCCAATGTGCATCAAGTCGACATGATGTAACACAGCAGTCACGCAAAATCCCTGCTGACTTCTCGTAGAAGAGAAATCCGTGTGTTGCAAGAGGAGGTTGCAAAGGCGTCGACGTTGAGAGAGCTTGGTGTAGGACTACATTCCTAGGTATATTTCTAAGGGTACATCTATATATCTATATCCGAGCGGCATCTGCCAAAGGATCGAGGGTGTCACTATCTTTCCATCCCTGCTTCTTTCCACCACGAGTCAGCATTGGGGTGGACACCAGGCCCTGTCACGCCAGCAACTTTTCTAAGCTCCGCCTTTCGTTGGTGGTCAACGTCGTACTCGCGATCACGTGGTGCAATGGCTTCCTTGAGATTTGGAATCTGGCTATGCGATGTCAAGGAGCCCATGAGCGTGGGGTGCAGCTCGTCTTCTTTATCGACCTGCCAAAAGTGCCAAGTCTTGCCACATAAGCCGACAACCTCATGTATCGCCTACGTCTCGAGCTCCTCCCACTTATCGTGCAGCTGGTCTCCCAGTTTTTGGACCGCAAGCATTCCCGAAACAACTTCGAACTCGTGGGAATGCCAGAGCTTCTGTTCCTCCGCGTCCAGCTTCTCGTAGACTTGCTTTGGAACCATGTACTCTACACCGATCAGACGAGCATCTTGGCGTCCGGAGTCATAGATGAGACATTGCCGGAGATCTATGGACATCAATGGAGGTTCTCCAGGCCGAGCAACGACAAAAAGCGCGTACTCTTGCGAACGTGAGAGCAATAGTGATGCGCCTCTAGCGCTCTTGTCTTCCCGTTGCGAGCTTCGTCGGTATACACGTGCAGCGCATTCAACCACTCGCAAATGTTGTGCAAGGGCATGAATTCCGCATTAGGTGCCATGGCAGGGAAGTTGATGAGGAGGTGCCTTGATATGGAGACAAGGGTTATGAGGTTACATACAGGGGAAACTTGGTGGACAAGACTTCTATAAGTAGGCATACCTGTGTATTCTCTTGACAATGTATCGCCGTGATGCGGCGCATGTGATTGCCCGTGCGACCACTACCATACGTATTGTAGATCCGGCCTCAAAGACGCAAGGTCGCCGACGCTGGAATAAAGCGGAACAGTGATCGCCGCAGTGGTCGGGGTTTGGCGATTTCGGGGCTTCGGCGACCTACGGGAAAGGACATCATAAACCCGACTCATCAGTCCCCATACTGCAGTTTTTCACAACATTTGTAGTCTCAGCATATTTTTACATGGCTTCTATGAGCAAACAGCAAAGAACAGTTGGGCCATCTGCGTTGGCGTGCACGGCGTGCAGGTTGAAACATCTCAAATGTGACAGAACGTCTCCTCCTTGCACGCGATGTGCCAGACATGGCTTGGCATGTAAGTACACGCCCTCCCGACGAGGTCTCCGACGGACTCCCGATCACGCCAACCAGCAGTTCCCGGTAAACCTTCCGCAGCAGCAAGATTCCCGACCGCTGCCATTCGTCCTACCACCAACGCCGTCATCGGTGACGACAGGATTTATTGGCCCGGACCACACTCTGACCGGCCTGGATGTGCACATCCCTTCAGTGCGGACAGGCTTGGCGGCAGCCTCATCGCAGCCAACCCGGAGACCGCCAGGAGAGGTGCTCGGCACAGATTCCATGTCAAGCGGACCATTTGCGTTATCACAACAGGATGAGGATCATCTGGTCAATCTGTACTATTATCACTTCCATCCTGTCCATCCCGTGCTCCTCCCGCACAGCCGCTTCAACAAACATGCGTATCCTTCACACTTGCGGCTAGTGGTGCAACTCATAGGAAGCCGGTACACTTCAGCCTTTGCAAGTGACACCCTAAAAGAGGCCACGGCAACATCGATGACTGGGATCGCGAAGCTCGAGACCGATCCAGTCCACCTTATCCAAAGTCTGCTTCTTTACGCAATATATCTTCATGCCAGCACAGACCGGAGCTTGGCTCTTTCTGTTTGCGCCAAAGCTTCGGATCTTGCACTCGAGATTGGGCTTCACCGTGCCGACTACGTCGTGGAGCACGGGGCCCAGGGCGTGCTACTTGATGAGAGCCTGCGCAGAACGTGGTGGGAGCTGTTCGTCCTAGACGGCTACTTTGCCGCGCTTCATCGACAGATGGCGTTCAGGTGCAACGCGGTCGAAGTCACTGCGCAGCTACCGTGCGAGGAACGTTGGTATTGCGAAGGACTGATACCCCCCGAGGCCCGGACGCTAGAACAATTCGACAGACGGTACTTTGCAGATGGCGATGAGGCGTTTTCGTCCGCCTGCTACCGTATTGACTCGATACGAATCCTTGGTCGCGTGCTGGCAGTTGCAGCCGGGCCTAGGAACGGCGCAGACGATGCCCGATTGATCGACAACGCGATTGTTGCCTGGAAGCTTCATCTTCCACTTGCGAAAGCAGGTGCTCTCGATTGCTTTGGCAACGTGGACCCGATCATGCTCCAAGCCCACGCATACATCTCCATGGCCGGAATCCTTCTGCACTTTCCCCGAAGCGAGCTTCTGTTGACAGGGCGCACTGCTGCCGACATTGCTTGCGCGGCACGCTTGACCCAAGCATTTCCGACTTCCGCCCAACACGCTGCCAAAGCCATCTTAGCTTCTAAAGATCTGGCAGACCTTGCCAACCTAGCTATGGGCAAGCACTCCCCACTGTTCGCGTGTAGTCTGGTCTTTGGCTGTATCGTCCAGCTTTCAACATGCTCTGCTGACTCTCACGATGGCATGATCCAAGGTCGTGACCGAGTTGCGCTGATGACGGGGGCACTCAAGTCGATACACCGACACTGGGACATTGCAGGTGAAGTTTTACGACCTCTCAACAAGCTCGCCAACGCGGTTTTCAGTCCCCAACATCCTACAGTATCGATCGGGATTTCCCTACCTGAGGACGCTTGGGCAGATGTTGATGCAATGTTGGGTACTGCTTCGTGGCTTGACTTTTTCCCCACTGCAGACATTGGCGGACGAGACAGGCGCATGGAAGGTATGGACGAAGGCATATATAGATAAAGCCAGCGTCTCTTTTACAGTCTAAGACGGATTCAATCATCAGTGCCTCTTACATTGCAGGGTCCACCACGATGTACTGCCAAATCCCAAGAGCGGGCTCATGTACAGTGGGATACAATCAGGTGAACGACGCTTGATTCACGGTAGTACGAACGATTCCGACGAGCAGTATTCGATGCTGAGAAGCTTGATCGTATGACACAGCTAGGTGAGAGCCGTTTTCCCGACGTCTACCATGATCTACTCGTCATCTAGTCGGCCTTCTCCGCTTTAGGAGGGTAGCTTTTCCCATCGACCGTAGTCTTCGGCTCGCATTGGCAGCGCTCGTTCTCGGGGACGGAATCCATGATCGACGGGATGTGCTGGCCGCATCCCCACCATGATGATTTAGCTATAAGCACGTCACTCGTTAGCGGTCTTTCCCGCGGAATCACGGAGCAGTAAGGCCTTTCAGGTCCACTCACAGCAGCGCGCACAGGTAGCTTTTTTGCACATATTTGGATGTCGTCTGCTTGGCTCGCAGTAATTGATATGGGCGGAAGGGGTAAGTGGAGATGATGGAAGGGCTGAACGTGCAGTGACGAGAAATTCCAATGTTGTGTACTCCCTTAATGAGTCTTGTACGCCGCTGCATTTCGGCGAAGTTATGCTTAGTAATACTTAGACCCCGATATCCCGGAGACGCCAGGGCAAGGTTGGAACCGGAGCGATATTAGCGTCAACTCTAATCTACAACCACCTCGAACCTTCTGTTTCACACTCGCCTGGAACCTGCATATGGACAAGCAGAACCGTGTCGAACTCTCTCATGTGGACTGTGCAAGCGGCGACTGCATCGGAGACTAATCCCTGCCACCCTGGAACAGACAGACCGGCGAAGGAAGAACCCCCTCGGGGACCGACAGGACTCGGAGCTAGAGACGCCGATACTGCGGAGCATGCCCGAACATCCCATTTTGGGCATCGACCCGTCAGCATCAAATGATTGGATTCCTCAAGGCGACAATCATGCTATATATCTCTTGCGCTCAACGATTCCAGGCGACCGCTACTTCACCATCCAAGGCTCTATCGTCTTTCGAACTACCGCGCTGTCTGTCCTATCGCCCTTAGCCCCTTAAAATCATCTAGGAGTAATGAAGGCCAATCGCACGGCCATGCATCGACCCCTGCCCTCGTATCATTCGGACGTTGAACTACTATTCTTCAGCTCTGAAGATCCCCGCGTACTGGAATCAGGACAACTGGCCAGCGACGGCTCGACGCCACCATTGAACAACGACGTGAGCATTCTATCATGGCACAATCTGACCGTGACCGTCAAAGACAGAGCAACAAAACGACAGCGAGAGATCCTTTCCAAAGCATCAGGCTTTGTGCGTCGAGGCGAGATTATGGCCCTCATGGGCCCATCTGGCTCCGGCAAGACCACCCTCTTGAATACTATTGCCCAACGCCAAACGGGCACATCTTCTTGCCAAGTCCTCGTCAACGGCGCCGAGCGATCCCTTGGCACCCATCGTCAGATCAGTTCTTTCGTCGAACAAGAAGATACGCTGATAGGGTCACTTACTGTGGAAGAGTCGTTGCATTTCGCCTCACGACTGGCCCTGCCAAGAACTGTTACAAGGGCAGAAGCACGCGCACGCGTCTCCAAGCTAATTGATGCCTTCGGACTGGTCGATCAGAGACATACTCTGATCGGCACACCGCTTCGTAAAGGCATCAGTGGGGGCCAGAAAAGAAGAGTCAGTGTCGCAACACAGCTCGTCACCGAGCCCCGAGTCCTGTATCTTGATGAGCCTACAAGCGGGCTAGATTCGACCGCGAGCTACGAGGTCATGTCATTCATTCGGGACATTGCCATTGAGCGCAACGTGAGGATCCCACGCGTCGTCTTCGACTACATGAGCCGCTGATTCTAGATGTTAGTTGATCGTCATCGCGAGCATCCACCAACCTTCTACCAAGACCTTTGAGCTCTTCTCCAAGGTGGTTGTCTTGTCGCAGGGCCGAACGTGCTACAACGGTCCAGGTTTCGGCCTCCCACCCTACCTTTCCGACATCAATCTCCCTATACCGGAGCTGACCAACCCCGCCGAATACGTGCTCGACTTGGTCAATCAGGACTTTGGACAGGATGAGGGAAAACACCAGTTGCAAACAATCTTCCAAGCCTGGGAACTTTCGGCGCACCATAAGCGTCTTGAACAAATGATATCCTCTCTGAAACCTCTACCTCTGAGCCTTGGGGACTCTGAAGAGGGTGGGTCCCCCAAGCCGTGGCAGATCATGACCCTCCTCCACCGAGCATTCATCAAAAGCTATCGCGATCTTGTTGCGTACTGGATCCGAGTTGTGATGTATCTCGGACTGGCGATCATGATGGGTACGGTCTGGTTGCGCCTTAGCACTGACCAGAGTCATATCCAGCCTTTCATCAATGCCATTGTGAGCCTCTCTACCCCCAACGTTATGCGGTTAGGAAACTGATGTTGACCAGTTTTTCGGGTCTGCCTTCATGTCATTCATGGCTGTGGCATATGTACCGGCCTTTCTGGAGGACCGTGCCATGTTCGTCAAGGAGCGAGCAAACGGCTTGTATGGTCCCGCGGCCTTCCTCGTGGCAAATTTCATAGTAGGCCTGCCCTACTTGTGTAAGTCCTCACCCATCCTCTAATGCCACGGTCCTGCTAATCTTCGATCGCTAGTTATGATCTCACTGTTGTTCTCGGTGGTGTCGTACTGGCTCATCAATTTCCGCCCGACAGGCACGGCCTTCTTCACTTACGTGATGTGGTTGTTTCTGGATCTGCTGGCAGCCGAGTCACTCGTCGTCCTGGTATCGTCCTTGATGCCAAACTTCGTCATTGCACTCGCGGTCATCGCCTTTGCCAACGGGTAAGCCTTGATCCATGTTCGTGTTACGACGCATCCAAGCAAGCTGACAACGAAATTCAAGGCTGTGGATGAGCGTCGGTGGATTCCTTGTCGCCCGGCCATCGTTAAACGTCTTTTGGCGCTACGCCTTCCATTACATCGACTACCAGGCCTACGTCTTCCAGGGCATGATGGTGAACGAGTTCCAAAGCCGCACCTACGAATGCGCACCCGTCAGCGGTGCGGGCGAATGCCACTGCTTGTATTCGAGCCCCTTACAAGACCAATGCAAGATCGCGGGCACGGCCGTTTTGCAAGAGTATGGGTATTCGACCGGTTTGGAGGGGCAGTGGGTTGGCATTATGATCAGTATTATTGTGATTTATCGGCTAATGGGATGGTCATTCACCTGGTTGAGGAAACGATGATTCGTTCGTCAACCCGCAAATGGATGCGAGTATTGATGCCGTCCATGGTGAGGCCGTACGTACAAGGGAAGTCACCCGCACGTAGACGAGTCGATGAACTGATCACGACTCTGCTACAGCTAGGACGCTTGCAAGGCGGAACTCAAGTGGTGAAGCTTGGCTCGATTGGTACTGAACTCAATCCACATGGACTAGAACAGATACGGTCACTGGGTACGTGGGTTTGGAGTGGCATGATTGAGGGGGGACATCTGGATATGTGAATTCTATTGGTTTTGGGTAGATGCTGATGCAATTCCAACTTCGGGGGTTTTCCAAAGATAGAGCTCACGGTCATGACCTTCCACTACCCAGGTCTCATTCCCTTGATGTCTTAAGTGGTCTTGCCAGTTGTCTCGGCCCATCGTCACCTAAAGATCGAGCACCTACGACGACCTCATGGGACTCACTCTTAAGTGTTTGCATTCTACATATGTATTTTGGACCTGCCAGCCATGCATGAGAAGCATGAACGGCGAAATGAAGTGGAAGCAGCTATACAACTTATGGCCATCGAATGTTCGCTCCAGATCTCACAGGTTAAATTCGCTTTCTGGAAAGAAGGAGCCCTTACTGGATGATGTTACTGCGATGGGTGACTCGAAGGTGCATACTGCAGTGTTCATGAAAGAAACATCGGCTATACAGAACGTATAGGCCCATGAGATACGACAACGATCTTCTACTCTAGCTGATCCCTTAACCATTGACGCAATCGATGCGCCCTTACCTTCAAGCTCTTTAAATACGTCCCAGACTTTCCCATCTTATTCCTCCAATCGTCTTCCACGAGACTATGGTCCACAAGGTTCCTAGACTATTTCACAATACCGGATGCTACACTGCCGACGGTCTAGGGCAAGTCGGTCGATTCCTGCGCATCGAGGACTAAGAGGATCTGCTTGCTCTTTAGGCTTACGATGATACGTTCGAAACAATGCTGTGTCGTTTCGGTAGTGCAGAGCATAGGACTCGCGCATGCAGACTGGAGAGATGTTGTAGTAGTTGAGGAAGTTGAGGTGAAATTGCTGGCATCGTGTTACACGAAGGAGAAAGAATGGATCGTGGATTAATCGGTCTTTGGAAAGGGTCTCGACGCTGTGCTTGCCTTGGCTATGTTGGACGAAATAAATGCGTGGCGGTGCCACTGCGGAAGGGAGAGGGTTGATGAGAAGGAGAAGAGTCCGTGCTCATTCAGAAGGCTCTTGAATCTTACCTCCATATTGAGCTCAAAACTGCCATGGCCGTACGATACGAACGACATCTATCCTCTGCGCCGAATACGTGCCAATGGACGTTCATCGAGTCGAAGCTGGCTCTGAATGATTTGCACTCGGCCTTCGGTCTTGATCACTCGCAGAGGTGGCATACTCGGAGAAGGCCATTGCGCAATTCGGCGATCCAGCTCAAAACACAGCACATGGGCATAAATGCATGTTGTAACAGGACAAGGCTACGCTGCATTATAGTATCTTAGTAAGCTCTATTAGATCGACACATTACGACAAACGCGTTAGGGTAGGAAGTGTTCGTACAGACCTAAGCTTCCTAACGCTAAGTCGACAAATTCTGGATCGGCCTAATTGTCTATCGGAAAGCTGCCAGGAAAATCGATTTCAATTCGCAGGAATCAGAACATCTCTTAAGTATGCTTAATACTCAATATGCACCACTGCGATTAGTAGATTTGGGGACTTTCTAGTTTCAATGCTAACACAGACGGGGCCAGCTTCTATTGTCAGAGCACCGATAGACAGGAATGGGAGAAGCGGCTAGAGGACTTGAAGGCATTTGACTGGGGCTAATTAATACGACCGCAGTTCAGCTTATAGAGACATCAATACCGCTATACAGCCAATCCAATCTCATTGTGCTCTCAAGATATGGAGAAGAAGGATCTTCAAGACAAGAAACACTGCTGCAAGGCGAATGTGATGGCTAAAACACTGCTGCAAGGCGAATGTGATGGCTAAGACACTGCTGCAAGGCGAATGTGATGGCTAAGGATGGGATTCGCGCAACGTGAGCTACCCGGTCATTAGCGCAATGGAAGAGCACCCCAACGTGAGACCGTCGGTATTGCAGTACATTGGTGCGGAGTAGGCAGGGGAGCGCCCTCGACTTGGTGGCAAAAATGATGGTCATCGGCGGGTCAAAAGTGGTGGCATCGAAATAATCGAATCATGGTAGACAGAGCGTTCCGCTAACCCGGCCAGCCATCGCCTGCGTTGCATGACAAGTTTGTCCTTTGCCCCTCACACAATCCAGATAGGATCTCAATATGTCCAAGACGTATCCGCAGCACTTGCTTCGCGTCTTGCTGAGGCGCCCACATCCTGTTTACCTCCCTTGCCATGGACGTCCAGCAGTTACTCGGGCCCCGAGTTCGGTGGTCTTCACGAGCCAGCCCATCCGATGCGCACCATTCTCCACCAGCTGGACCGAAGGCTCGCAGCATAGCAAAGACCGCGTCAATGGGCATAGTAAGACGCAGCCGCGATCAAGTGGCATCTCGGCAGCCATTGTTGCCGGCGCTCTTGCATTCGCTGGCGCAATCCTGGCAACCACAAGCTTGACGTTCGCAGAAGAGTCAAATAGCGACCACAAGCTCATCCGGCTTCACGAGATTCAAGAGCACAATCGTAAGGCCGACAACTACTGGGTTTATCGAGGGAATCGGGTTTACGACATCACGGACTGGATTCCGAACCACCCTGGAGGCGACGTAATCATGCGCGCTGTCGGAGGCAGCATCGAGCCATACTGGAACATCTTCACCATCCACCAGAAACAAGATGTTTACGACATCCTGGAACAGTACTTTATCGGCCTCATTGATCCTCGTGACCTGGTCGATGGCCGAGCGCCTGCAGGCCAGGTCGAAGACCCGTTCAAACTCGATCCAACACGAGACCCCGAGCTCATCGTCCACAGCGACCGCCCTTTCAACGCAGAAACGCCGACTGCTGATCTCGAGACATTCATCACACCCATCGCTCGATTTTACAAGCGCCACCATCTTTGGGTCCCCAAGCTAGATGAGAAGACGTTCAAGCTCACGGTTGAACTGCCTAACGGCGAAGAAGTGGAATATTCGGTAGAGGATCTGCGTTCAAAGTTCAAAGCACACACCATCACAGCAACTATGCAATGCTCTGGTAACCGACGGTCTCACATGACAAAAGGCTCTAGGCCTACCAATGGCATCCAGTGGGGTGTAGGCGCTATCAGTAACGCAGAATGGACTGGTGTCAAAATGCTCGACGTTCTTCAGGATGCTGGTCTTGATGTGACGGACTTGCCCGACGATGTGAAACATGTCCAGTTTATGGGTGCGGAAGCGTACGGCGCATCAGTCCCCATTGAAAAAATCGCCGATCAATTCGGGGACGCCCTTATCGTCTATGCTATGAACGGTCAAACATTGCCGAGAGACCATGGATTTCCTCTTAGAGCGTTGATCCCGGGGACCGTTGCTGCCCGGAGCGTGAAGTGGCTAAGCAAAATCGTCCTTTCGGAAGACGAGTCAACCTCGCAATGGCAGCAGCGTGATTACAAATGTTTTGGTCCTAATGAAGGAAGCACTCCGGACTGGTCTAGCGCTGTCGCGATCCAGGAAACACCTGTGCAGTCGGCTATCACGAGCATCCGAAAGGTAACCGCAAACCGTCTGGAAAGCAGCGCCCTAGCCCGCGTCTATGGTCTTGAGGAGGAGTCTGTTGTTTTACGAGGTTATGCATTCTCTGGTGCCGGGCGCCGCGTCGTACGCGTGGACGTTAGTCCAGACAATGGCAAGACCTGGCAGCAAGCAAATATCGAGGACGCAGAGCAGAAAGGCCACCGTTCGTGGAGTTGGCGACAGTGGAACTTGGCAATCCCCACTCGAATGTTGTCGGGCAACGTATGTGTCAAAGCCACTGACGATGGATACAATACTCAGCCCGAGAATTTCACCGCCTACTACAATTTTCGGGGCAATCTGGCCAATAGCTGGCACCGAGTACCGGTGTCAGACGCGCTTAAGGCTCCCATCGTCGAGAAGGAGTAGAATTGGAAATCCTACTATTTTGATGTCGGCTTTATCCCCTTGATAGATGGGTAGAGTAGCTCGGCGACTTCACAATTACCCTCATATGCTCTCAAAGGCACGAGGGCAAGAAATGTACCCCGCTTTCCTCGAAATGCAAGTACGTTGCGATTGGCGATTTCGAATCAGCGGCACCATATATCATCGCAGTTGGGATTCCCGGCTCAGACGGTGCCTATCCACCGTACCCCCACCATTCCATCTTGCCGCCAACCGGGTGCGAAAATCCTGGCATTTACGTGCGAGATATAGTGCGACTAGGGGTAGATGTGGCCGTCATGGTAGCAGCGTCCTGCGTACGGATTTTCGCTCAACAATACAGCATTGCGTTCCGCTGTTTTAGTTCAAATCATAGTCCCCACTATCCTCCAATCGCCTTCTATGACTGGCTTGGTTTCAATACAATCATCTCCGAGGAGCGCATGCAATGACATCGATATCGTGAACCAGAAAGCTATACTAATCGGAAATAGTAGTCAAGGACTGGATCGTCAATCACGCTCGTATCGCCATTTCGCTCTTCGCTGCGCTCATTGCTGGAATCTCTTACACCATCTTTGATCCGCTGCGGACGTTATCGATCGAGGCTCATATCACGCGAGCGTTCCATGTCGAAGATATATTCGTTTTCAAATGGTTCCGAAGGTAAAGCGTAGATTTGATCAACAAAGTCAAGCAGCTGAGTACCGGTCATCGCAGTTCCGAGGTCGGCATGCAAGCTCTATGGGAGGATAGGAAGAATGAAGGTAGATCAGAATTTTCAAACGCCGATGCTTCACTCGATCTTCAAGATTCACAATTTCCACAATACATGCTGTTGCCATCTCGTTCCCCTCGCGTTTTGGCGTACTTTCATCCTCTGATGACAGCGCAGTATAATATTGAGCATCGCGAAATGCCATCTTCGCTTCGTAGGCTGAATCTAGCGGATGCGATGCCACTCTCACGAGAGCATAAATGGCATCGTCCTCGCTATCAAAGCTGGCTCATCCTCGTCACTCGACCAATTCTCCGAACTTGTGTCGTTATCGTCATCCTGCTGCGGCAGTTCCAGTTCGGGTGGTTCACCTCCGTTTTGTGATGCGCAGTTGGATTCGGTCTTAGCACAGGACGTAGTTTGCACCGTGACATGAGAGCGAGTCGTGCCAGCTGTTCAGATTGTGAGCTTTCAAGCACATCCAGCACCTTCAGGTGCACGAGTGCCCTTCTTAGATCTAGACTTGCGCGGCAATTTTCTTGGCGGAACTTCATATCGGCAACCACTCGCCGGCGCATGGCTTGTATTGTGCAGAGCGTGTGACACCTGCGGGTGCGTGATGGCCGCTACAAGTTCCTTCGTGCATGGTGGAATTGCATGCTGTTGTCGGATTCTTAGGAAGCAATGCAGAGAGGAAGGCCGACTCGTTCGAGCTGATTCGCACTGAAATGGCCGAGACGCAGTAGAGCAAGCCTGTCGGCTGGCTTCGGCTAGGAACTTCTGACCAAAGGCTGTTGAGTTTGCGTCGAGCATTGTGAAGAGAGGGATGACACGACATCATTCTTCACAGCGTTCAAAATGCCTTCTAGTCGCTGGTCAACTCGCTCCGCAACCGAAAATGCCAAGGGGAGACGCGGCTACGCTGAAACTAGTCCGGACGAAGCTTGTTTAGCGGAGCGCTCGTGCTGCGCGATCGCCGCACGTTCGCAATGTTCTTTCCGAACTTCCCACTGGGCGGCTGTTTGAGACCGAGCACCAAACAAAAACGGGGGCAAAAAAAGATGTAATGGTTCGCTGACGAATTCGGAAGACGTGGACATCGCTATATAAGGCAGCGCCGTCTTAGGGGTCCGAGAAACGTGGATGCACTCACGTGCTACCCTCGACCACTGCTTTTAACTGGCTCGCTTTCCTCCACATCTGAATATCTACCGAATGCCTCCGCGACGGATTTATTTCGTATGACACGGCCAAGGCCAGCACAACGTTAAGCCGCTGGCTGAAGGCCGACTGATTCATGACCCATCGCTCACACCATTGGGCATTACCCGCTTCCACGACTTCAACCACGATTTCCCGTCTACTACAACATTGACTTGGGTTATGCGAGTCCAATGCGATGCGCGATCCAAACTGCGCAGTACTGCTTCGAAAACGTGCTCCCAAAGACAGATAGCCGCCGGGTTTTCTTGCTACCAGATGCACAAGAAATTACGGACCTGCCTTGCGACATTGGCAGTGCTCCAGCCGCCATCACCCACGAGTTTGGGGAGCTTGTCGACACCAGAATGGTGGCGGAGGATTGGACCAGCAAAAAAGGCAAATATGGAACAGACCCAGAAAGTTTGCAGGAATGGGCGCGCCGGCTGCGGCGATGGTTACGGGACCAGCCAGAAGCGGAGATCGTCGTGGTTTCCCAAGCGGGCTTTCTTGAGTATGTGACCGGCTCGAACCTCGACGACAATGGTGAATTACGAGGTAAGTGCGTGTGCTTTGGTTTAGTCTGTAAAAACGTGGCTGACTAGGCTGTAGACTTCGTCTCGGGTTGGAAGCAGTTTTTACACTTCTCAAGAAGATAACCCTGTGGAGGCGACACTTGTGGAAGAGATACAATCGATTGCACATCGCGAAGTCCTGAAGTGATCAAGGAAGCGCCTAGAGAAAGTCACGTAGAATGCAGTCCCTTGCAGCGATGCATCGAGCAGGCCGGCCATTGCAAAATGTTTCTTCCTTAGGACAGTAGTCTCGAGACCACTTCTTGTCGAGTCCAATCGCTCTATCGCCAGATTAGAACCGATGCGACTAGTAAAGGAATGATAGCCTCCGGCACGATTAGCGAACGTTCTGGGCCAGCCATCTAAGCGGTGCCCTTGAAAGCGACCGCCAGCCTTGTCGCTCTGACGTCTACGTGAACCCCAGTGTCCTTTGCTAAAACAACATGACCTGAACCGTCGCTGTACCAGCTTAAACGTTTCCACGCCTTCAGATCACGATGGGTTTCAATAGTGGCGGCAGTAGAGACAAAAATGGAGATAACCGTGTCTTCCGCAACATTCGGAAGTCTGCCGCCGACGTAACGAAACTCGAGGTCTCGTAAGATCTGCTCAATGCTGGCCACAAACTAGCCTGGACGTCGAACAAGACACGCTAAGAAGAATGAGGGTTAGCGGGCGGTCACTAAGTGTGAAGGTTGGAGCCCCGACAATGTCGTATTGTCTCCACCCTCTTGCAAGACTCATGCATTCTACTTGTGGCCTCTCGACGGGTCGATGCATAGGATCAATTGCCTCCTCTGGACAACTCATAGGTGGCTGCCAGCTTCCGCAAATGAGCTGGTCCAATGAGCGAAGGGCGTTATTGCGATCGACGAAGGGATGGACCGAATGGATATCTTCAACATAGCTTCGGAAAAGCTGACGTAGCCGAGTAATATGTTCGGAAGAGGAGCAGGGTGGTCCCAGGTCAAACATGGAATGTGCGGCTAGGAAGGCGTCTACTAGGAACGATTGGCGTGTGAGGAAGTCGCCAGGGAGCATGGTGTACTTAGTGTAAGGGCTAGGGGACATGCGGACATCCTTGGCCTCAGACGAGAGCACATAGGCAGGATCGACAAGTCAGTGGGCGGAGCAGAGGAGGTGATTGACATAAGGCTACAGCTTGGCAAGGTTGTGCACACCAGAGGCATGGTATAGACCGCGCACGAGCTAGTCAGTGTGGTTTGCTCATAGTTTGTTCCACTCGACGGCGCCTAACCGTGCAGCTAACTCATCGAATTAGGGGAGGTAGTTATTAGCCAGCTGCATGTGCATGTGCAACTTAGCAGTATGTTTATCGAGGTGGCGAAAGGTGGCAACGATGTGAGATATGTGGTGAGTAGACTTGATAGCAGAGTAGTGACAAGTAAGGTCGTCCTCGTCGCAGTTAGCGCATGATCGACCTTCGTCATACGCCCTCTCCTTCTCCCAGCACAAGTCGCAAGCCTAGGTGATAGGTCAGTGGGCTTTTCTAGGAAGAGGCGATGAAGGACGTATACCTGTGTCGCTCGGAGATGCCGTCTGCGATCAGATGACTTTTTCCTCGATGGTGGTGAGGGGCGCGAGTGAGCTGGTTAGAGGATTCGTGTTGGGATAAGAGGAAGCAGGGCCAAACTTCTTCTCGCGGCGAGCTGTAGCAGAAGGGATGAAAGGGGGTGAAGCCGATGAATGATACACGCCACCCGAGGATTGAACGAAGGTCACTGTATCTGAGGTGAGACAACAGCAGCGAACGCAGACAGGCAAAGCCGTCCAATCAAAGCATGCCACGGGTGCGACAATCGATACATCTTGGCCATCGGGGGCCGACAGCTAAGGGTGATCTGCATAATGAGCGTTAGGCACTGGGTGTGCGATGCAAGCAGGCGTACGCTTCGTTGTAGTAGGCACTCTGCGATGATCGTCTAGACACTAGCTTCTGAACGACAGTGCAATTTCCTCGGCACCTTAGGGCCACGCTGATCTCGTTATATTCAACAACAGATAATCCAGTGCACTCTTCGTTAGCACCCTCAATGTCCTACACCAGCCCGTGCGGACTGAATAACCGCCCAGAAACCACGTGATTTGCCTCTCCACAATCTTTCTGTTCAGCTGTTCACGTCTGCTACGCGGTACCTACATGCTGGACCGAGGCTAGTGGCATTGCGTCTTCGTCGCCCATACAGTCTCTTCGCTACTCTATCGGCGCCATAACGTACAGGCTTGAATTTCGACTACATCAGGCAGCATTCCCAAGTCAACACGTTATGACTGCACCTAGCCTTCGCATATAACACGGTCTGCTTGACTCCACGGCAAAATTGCTCTTACTCGTCTAGGCCTTTCATCGTACAGTCAGTCTAGTCACGCACATCTCAGCTCACGTTGAACACAGCCATATCACGCAAAGCTTCTCGCGGTGCGGCTTCCACTTCTGACGCTGTTCTTAGCCCGACCGCATTTCTCTGGTCCATCCTTTACGGACACCCGGCCTCGCTCTTGGATCCATGCCGACGCTTCGCCTTGGTCACACATCTGAGTCTAGGTACTGCTCCGTATCCTTCCTTCTCTTTGGCTCCTATCTTCTCACCTCAACGACCTCATTCATGATTCTCCATCGCTCCCGTTTCCTTACCTCGACAACGGCCTTTGGCGATATTCAAGTCTCTTGCCTAAAGTCAGGCCTAATATCGCAAGCTTTGAGCTAAGAACGTAAGTCTAATCAATCACAAATATATCCTCAGCAATCTGGCGATGTACTCGTACCATTGCAGTACACTGGCCCGCTGCTGATCCAGACACCACCTACACGTCTCATTTCTACCTCGAACTCCACCAGGAGCTCCATCATGGATATCAACAAGACCTATCTTACAGCCCACCACGACATTTAGCGACGTGCACGTTCTAGCTCAGCAGGAACTGGAGCTCGTCGCCACCGATGTGTCCGCTTTGAGCAATGCTGATAAAGTTGCCAACGTCGTTGGACTGTTCGGACCTGTGTAGGATGTCTCTGGAAGCAACTCAATTACGAACTGTGTACAAGCAGACGGCACCTTGACTCTGGCGCGGGCATCGATATCAGACACTGTGTATAGCACTCCCCCACACCGCTGAACTCAAGAACCCAATTTAGTGTCAAAACGACCATTCACAACTCGTATGCTTCCACGTCTGCAGAATTCTAGTCAGCGTTGACTGGCAAAGCATCTGATGCTTCCTTCAGCCTGTCCGAGCGCTAGAACAACGTCGGCAGGCTTAAGTCAGGCTGGCCCTGAACGTACTTGTGATTCGTCACTAAATTATGATAGTGTCCACTCGCATGACGGAGTCGTGTCCTACACTGTGACACCAATCAGCTAGGGAACCCGGGCGGTATACAACATCGACCCCGAGCTTTCATCGGACCTTACTCAGGGTACAAAAGCGAATGGATAAGACTCGTCCACGGCAAGATCATTTATACATCCCAGCATTGTGCGTACGTTGGACCGAATTGGGAAGTCACTGCGGGAGTAGGTGGCAGTACCGACGCTTCAGAGCCCCCTCCAAGGCGCCCATGATTGCTGCAACCTAGTAGTAACACAAATCCCAGAGACTGGAAGTGTTCCCGTTACTGAATGGAGCGCAAAATAGCCTCCCCAACCGAATCCAGAATACCGGATCAGGTTGCTTTTAATCCAAGCATACCATATACGTCTACTTATGTCCCCACGTTCTAATCAGGCATGTCAGGATCGTGTAATTATGTATTATACCGGAAGACGGAAGATTGGATCTGATCTAGAGTACAGCGTCTTAGTATCACGTAAGGTATCACAACTTTTTGTTTCATTAGATCGACCTGTCACTGTGTAAAGACGAACATTCACTTAGAGGAGGAAGAATTCATTGATCAGCCACGCCAATCGTGTACAGTCACCCTGAGAAGACTATTGGTCGCCGGGCGAAGGAGGTAGAGGGTGATGACACACATCGCCAGGGGCACGCCTATTGCCAGGGAACAGAAGAGACGAGCAATGTGATCAGCTTCTCATTATTGTGAGGTATCACGCCGGCCACAATTCTTCCCGAAGCAGCCGCAACGACGGTAGACACGATGGAGAGGAGCCAGACTCCCGTCATGGCGCTGATCTTATGGTGGCGTTTCGTCATATCATCTGACAGTCAGCCTCTCGGTGGGCTGCTGTGATCTCGGAGTTGGTGCGGGGCAAGAACAGATATTCGCCAGTGATAGCAAGCGTGATGGAAATCCAAAATGTCGATGATTGATCTCGAAAGATGGTTCCTCGTTTCGATGCAGACCAGTGGACTAATAAAGCTTGCCGCTACCAGCGTCTCCAACGGTGAGCACGATTATCACGAGAATGTACTAATCGTATCATTGGTCAATCGGAGGAAAACACTTGAGCCTCTTTGATTGGTGAAGATTGGGGACAGTGACGATAGTGTGGGCTTACACTTAGTGTGGCGAGCACGATGATCCAGATTTCCCATCCAGAACTGCGCACATGCCCGTTGACGATGTAGTGCTGCTGCTTCCAGCATCGAAAGCCTCCCACCATAATCACAAACAAGGCAATCGAATTGGAGACCAGCCCTAACCGCTTGCCAAGTCGATAAAACTCCGATACAAGTGGACTGGAAGGGAAGAGATCACGTGGCAGTCGAAAAAGCTGAGTGACGAGCACACCCAAATGAGCAAACTTGGTAGACGTCCTTAGCCATGCCAGGTATGTCCGCTCCAGCGCTGCAGCTCAGATTGTCAGCGTTTCCACAGCCAGCTAGCAGGGCACAGGAAGGTAAAACGTCTGCCGACGAACCATAGTGGTCTCTACATTGCTCGAAAGGAACATCTTGAGCAACGTGCCGCTGCCACCAGTTTGACTGCTTCTTTTCAGATATTCTTCGCGGCCGTGTGGTTGGGCCTATCTGCTGCATCTCAAGGCCTGTCGAAGCGTGAATCGGCTCACGTATATGAGCTGCTGCAGGTTGTTCCATGGCACAATAGGATGACTGATCCGATATACCGGTGGGAAGAGCAGTCGACACATGTGATAATTAATAAGTATTCGCCAAGTCATGTTGAAACTCATCAACTACCGATGATGGATGCAAAAGCCGCTAGTAATCGAATCCTCAATCATTAGCGCTGCCGCAGATGCCGTACCGATCAATTAAGCCAAGACAAATTTATCGATAACAATTAAAAGTGGGTATTGATGAAAGGCAGCGTGTTGGGTGTTGTAGTGTGAGTCTGCGGCCGGGTGGACCGGGCTCATCTTAGTATCTTGGGAAGCTTTGATCTTGAGCTTCGATGGAGGGGGGCTGTAAAGCGCAACATATTATAATCGGAAAGAAGAAGACTGTCATTTGCTGTTAATCCTTAGCCGTGCAACATGGAACACTCTGCTCACTAATCTGTCGCTCTTTCGACTTGCATCGAGCCTCCTCTTCCTTCTCCTCCACATCCTTAAGACATAGCGCTTTGAAGTCTCGCCCGTATACACACGACCCAGCGTGCTGACGGTTACTATCCATTACAGAATGACCGTCAGCAAAAAGATGGTACCGAGGATGCGGTAGAACGCCAAGCACGATTTTTTTTTTTTTTTTTACAGAAGCTATAGCTACGTGAGTATCAGCTGATCTAACTTGACTGACCTTAAATAACAGCTTTGTACGGAGGCAAAGAAGCGTACTCTGCAGGTTGGTCAGTCTTCGTGTCGCATCGCTGAGGCGAGACCACGGATGACTCCATTGCTGATTTGACTGTTGGCATGAGGACTGGATATTTGAAGTCTGGCGCTCGTGCTCGAGGAGAGCGAGTCGCAAAGTACAACCCTTTGATGGACATTGAGGGCATTTTGCGATACGGCAATTAGAACTGCACGTATGCTGGCAAGACCTTCCGCTTTGCCCACCGTTGAGCACCTTGCAGTAAATACTAGGTAAAACGAGGTAGAGCAATAGACGCGATTCGAGTACGAAAGCGAGTCGGCAATGAAGTGACGAAGTTGCCTGGGTACAGAGCACATTCACATGTTTCGTACCTTGACTAGTACATCCGAGCCAGGTGCAGAGCCTGCCTGGCTTGTGATAGGCGCAAGAGGCGGAAGGTGATCCCACAGATCATCCGTTCGTATGCAGTGTGCGGAGCAAGAGGAGACGTGGACCGGCAAAGCAACAAATGCGCTGATATTCATGCCCTGGACGGCCAATGTGGCGCTTGTAAGTGCATGCGGCGTTTCTACACACACAGCTTCCTTGAACATGGAGTTACCACCATACGAAAAAGTTATCCAGCCTGACACTCCTCCTCCGTATTACACTAGCATCAGCGTAACAGGACGGCTTCTCTGCAAACAAGAGCTTACATTTCTAGTATACCGGCCTTAAATCGACATTGGAGTCAAATCGAAGCCGAGGTGCGAGGAAGCCCACTTCCTCCTTTCAAGGCTCACTGCGAGCACTTCCGCTCATACACTCTCCAAGTCGCCAATGTAGGCCTTGCAAACGACTACAAGGACCGCACCACTGTCTTTCGCGTTCGTCTTGAAGGAGAACAGCTTTTGTTCCTTGCCCTTGGGATCGAGGTCGCTGTGGCATGGGTCAAGTCTCTGCTTCCGGCGATTGTAATCAGCGATTCGCTAGAGGACAGGAAAACGCCCAAGTATCCAAAGCTGCTTCACGGCAGACGAAACCTGTCGTGCAAAGGTTCACCAGAGCATGCCATGATCTTCGTGTACCGAGATCGCTAAGGGTCGGAAACAAAGTCTCATATATGTGTCGAGCACCGAAGTCTTTGAGATTCGAATTTGCAGGATTTCCATCTTCGGTGGTACTTTCTACTGCCCTTTCTTGTCATTTTGCCTTCCTCTTTCGATGCCGGTACTCCAAAGAGCAAATCCAGCTTGGTTGAATGATATAGTCGTATCTTGCTTCGATCACCGTTCCATGCCTTCTCCTCCAGCCATTCATCTCTTTGTACACTGCTGGCCCTTCTTGTGAAAATTCCCGGTGGTCGTGATACCTTGATGGACTCGGATCGTGGTTGGAGGAATGGCTGGGAAGGAAGGGAGTCCCTCGTCTTTCTGTGATTTCGCTTGGGCATGTTCAACATTTGGAGCGCGCGAATGAGTTCATCAGTAGTATCCCACCACACAGCTGACGTATATGATGCACAGTCCAAAGATCATGACCAGTCCCCGCCATAGATACAACCTTTCGTGGCAGCAGAAGGAGCGTCATCAGCATCAGGAAGAAAGCATCCCTGGCGAGTGGGATTTTCCGGATGTAGAAGGGACCGGTCAAGGCAATCGAGGGTACGATAACGGTAGAAATGAACCATACAGCACCAACTAACTCGCCAATTGCCAGCTCTGGACTTCCGGAAGCCATCGAGGCCCATATTGAGAAGAGGGCTGGGCCGCAGTTTCCCGACGCAAGCAATGTCACTCTGGCTAGAGTATCGCTCGAATTCAGAACTCTCGCGATGAAGCTCAGGTTCACGGGGGAGAAGCTCTCGGCGCATATGCTCGCGACAGCGGAGAATCGAATGGACGTTCAAGTGGGAATGGCCGCAGAACGATGGGTTAAATGAAACCAGCGGGATTCGAGCTGTTCAAATCTAACTAGTATCGTGTGCTGCGGGCTGGGTCTAAAGGGCGATGGGCCGCAGGTGAGTCTGCAAGCTCGGTCTTGAGCGCAAAATAATACTTCAGGTGAGATATACATATCTTAAGTGTTCATAAACGGAACACCAATGCAGCTTCCACAGAACAGCACGTCTCTCTCGACATCTACGATATCGGCGATCGTGAACAGCACACCGTAGGAGGACTATTATCCGCCTTTGGCAAACATGCCGGGCTCCCATAAGCTCAGGATCCTCATATTTGGGGCTGGCGCAGTCGGCACGTGCTATCTACACATCCTCGAACAGCTGGTTGTGATGTGACTGCAGTATGTCGGTCGAATTTTACTGTTGCAAGACGTCACGGTTTCAACTTGGATTCCGATCTTTTGGGGCAACATATCCGACTTCGGCCGGAGGCCGTTCAGCGCACCGAAGATGTGAAAAATCTTGACTTAGGCTTTATTTTAGTCACCACCAAAGCATCTCCTAGCACTTCGCCATGCACGGCTGCACTGCTTCATCCGGTTGTCAGATCGGGGTTCACCTGAATCGCACTCCTCCAGAATGGCATATGGATCGAGCACGAGTACGCTTCTACCTACCCATCATATGTCGTTCTTTCTTGCGTCGTCAACCTACACGCAGTACAGGTCTTACCAGCAAGGGTAATCATGAGCGCTTCTCAGCATTCGGAAGTAGGGCCATGCACGTTTCAGAATCAAGATGACAGGACAGATTTAGCACTATCAGCAGCCGGGAGGCTCTGCGATCTCATATCCGAAGGAGGAGCCTCAGCAACATTACATTTCGACACTCAGCCTAGGCGATGGTCAAAATTACTGATCAATGCACCATGTAATCCGATCTGCGCATTGACCCGACTCGATGATGCAAGATTCCTTAACTCATCTTCCTTCGCAGTGACATACGTGCAGCGAGTAATGCACCAAGTCGTGGATATTGCACAAGAATCGGGTTACATGGTAGTGACTCACGCTACGGCTGAGGAGCGCCTGAAACAGATCACCGATCGGTCTTCGTCAATGGGCTATGAGCCAAGTATGTCTGCTGATGTGCAGCGGAGGCGGCCCTTGGACATCGAAGCGATCTTGGGCAATGCCATCAGAATAGCCCAAACCCTAGGAGTTACGACCACGAATTCGGAAGCCTTATAAATACCACTTCGTGCGCGAGATATGTCTATAGCAAATTGAGGTAGTCATAAGTCTCTCGTGATCATAAACCTTTTGTTGTAGACTTTTGCAATGCTACAGGTTTAGGGGAGGCAGAAGTCACAGGCACGGTCATAGACGCTGCAGCTGCGGACGTCCTTAGAGAGCTTTGCGAGTTGGCAGAACTTGCATTTTTGGCTGATTACGGACTTGCTCGATGAGACCCATTTGCAAAGAGACATAAATCAACGACATTACTCAATATTCATTGTCACCGTATGAAGTGCCGCCAGCGAGCTTGATGCAAAGGCGCCTCGTAGTACACGATAATGGCCGGTCAATGACAACATGCGGAATATAATTATTTCTACACCACGGCAAGGGCCTGAGTGCGTAAGGTGCAATCGATCTTGGCATTCGGGGCAGACACAGGGCGACAACAGCAATACCGCCTAACGCACAACTATTAGGATATCCCGATGATCGCATACCCATCCACGGCTAGAGAATGCAGTATAGTCTACTTGTATTGACCCAAAGTATGCTCTACCATGGCTGGTCACTTGGTGGCCGGGAAGCTTGTCACCTACCCGCGTCACTGCCCCTGGCCTCGATGTTAGGACACGCCGTAGTTCCTTGCAACATGTCAATGGGGCTTAGAGTACGAAAGAAATATGTCGGAGATGTTGGCAATGATGCAGGGAGAGTGAAAGCCCGTGGGGGCATACGTGAAGATGTTCACATTATTTTGCTACGGCAAAATCTTCCTTTTCGTTCGAGGGCGGATGGCGCGTGTCGCGATTGATTTCACGAAGACTCTATCGAGGACTTCAAGGACTCTTTTTCAGTTTCCTCTTCGCCTGCGACTCTAGCTTCCGTT